ATAGCGCCATGATACGGTGTAATTAAAGTACATGTGTGGTAGGTAATAAACCTACACATGTTATGCTAATGTGAGTGTAGATAGATTCTACAGATCGCAATTTGGTGTATTCAGTAGCTTGCAGACTAAACGATCTGATTAGACCAAAATATGTATATAAATCCTGTGATTCAACGAATGAAATGTTTTTACATTACTGTCTCATTGTGTAAGGGTTGAATCTGATATGTATATTTGATAAAAATGTTACTAACTCCTTAAAAATGGCACATTTGCTTTTAAGTGTTTTGTTATAAAAATATCGTTAAAATTACTTAACTAACATAACTTTTTATGGTAGCTTTACTCGTGGGGATGCAGCTGGTCTAGTGGTGTAGCGCGGGGCTCAAGTCCGGAGATTCCGTGTTCATATCCCACCTATAACCAATAGCGCCGTGTGATAATTACTCTAGGTTTAGTCTGAAGTAATTTGTAAAACAGTTTCGAGGCAGAGACGGAAAACCCACCAATTTCACTTGTCATGAGCGTGAGAATAGTATCATAAAGTCCTTTATGATTCTTAGTAAAATGATGATATCGACTATTATAGAAATTCAAATATTTCCCTCGACAAACATCATTGCTACAGAACAAATAAACTTATTGCGTTATATTACAAAATATTTTACCTGGCTTGTATTAATCACTTATGCAACAGTTTAAAGCAAAAATAATTTGGAATAAGCAAGTACAACGAATGTACACATTGAAACTTTGCTAATGTGTCCATGAAAACGAATCAATTAAAATAATTCCCTTTGCCATAATATGACAATTTAGAAAATCCAGAAGGTTGAAACCCGTAAGGGTATGATGTGATAATGGTTTGTACTGCCCAAAAAGTACATACAGATACAGTTCATTAAATATTACACATATACGAATTGTTAGGGGGCGTTCGTAAACTGCACTTTTAAATTAATTGCAAAACTTGTAAGAATGATGCAAATGTTTATTTAAGATAATGATAAAACTAAGATAAATCCTAATTTACAATATTTAATTAGCAAAATCAAAACTAGTTTTTGTCATTAACTATTTTGTCTCTTGCTGTTAACGATTAAATATTCAACTGAAGATTATCACCCGTTAAATTAAAATTTACATTTCAACCGGTTTAAAAGCATGTTGGTCAGCCTAGATCTTTCAAAGAGCGCTCTAGGAATTAATAAATCTCTGGGCACGAAACACTAGGAAATTACCTCTTTGGCTACCTTTGCCTCTGCACTGGATTACAATCGTTAAAATGACACATCAATCATAAAATTCGGATAAGTAGAACAGGTGAATGGGTATGTTACAAAGTAAAATGATGTTACAATGTGGAGAGAACCCCGTCATTTTTTTAAGTATACAGATTATAGCTGTATCAAACTATAAATTCCATTACAATATGTTTACCGGTTGAATACCAACTAAAGTTAATCAATTCCACAATAATGACCAGTTAGTAATATAAATTAGTGTCTATCTAGCATCAAAGTCAGTGGCCACCCGGGCAGTGTCGACGGTCTGCTTGTTATGGTGGAATTTACACCAATAAGGCAATGTTTCGGACTTCTTATCAGTGTTTTAGAGAAGTTGATGACTCGGTCGCTGACACGGTTTGGTCTTTAGCGAACCAATTCGATAGCTTACTATCAGATTAGAGTGGACTGGATTATAATTTACAAACTTGCCAAGTTATTTTTAGAAATTCAAGCGGGTTATTTTTATCCTTTCCTTTTCAACGATACAATTATTTAGTTCTTAAACGCCTAAACATGGAATCTAAAAACTGTATTGCTGAATATAGTTTAAAATGTTCTATCTGTAACAATACGGGGAAAGGTTATGAAGGTAAGCCAAATTTGATACACGTAATTAAAAATTAGACAATATCCAATATCTCTCAAATCGTGTCTGTTAACCAAATTTAGGACAAAAATCTATATTTCATATATGAACAAACAAGATAAAGCCACACATATCTGAAAGTTATATCTCTTAATTTAATTGAGAAATATGTCTAAACATTAAATCTTAAAATAAAATTGAATACTTACAAATTAGTGGTTTCTTTCATGTCTCTGCCATGCACACAAAATGATGTAATCCATTCAGTAGAGGTTAAAACTCCTAAGGTAATTCACAGAGACTTGGATTAATTGTGTGCTTGAGAACAAACTGAGGCCAAGAGAGATGGATCGCTCACAGAAGTATTAAACTCTTGCCTCCTCAGGTAAAGTCGTCTCATACCATCTCCAACTTACTCCGCACTTACTCTAAATTGTATTCTGTAACTACAGTTTATGGTTGTTATACACTGTAAATGTGCTTTCTTTTTATATTATTGTGTTGACTGTTTATATAAAATTCCCAATTAATTATTTAACAGAAAATGTAAGCCAATTGATTCACTTGTTTATCTTTCATGTGCTTTATAACTAACGTAACGAGTCTTGACTCATTAATTTCTATTTTCTGATCTTAAGGATTTATTAACAAAATTGAGTTTTTGTTCCTCTAACAAGTTAAAGCTCTCAAAGTCACCAAGGTTGTTTTTCCAATCAATTTACAGCCAGGGCTGATGTTTCTTCAACTCTGATTGCCTTCGAACCAATCAAACGCTATTCGTAAACTAAACTTTATAAATTGATCATTATTTTCATTTGGAATGTATACAGAATTTCCTGCAAAGAGGTTTACACGTTTGATTTTATATAAATCGCCCATTTATAGCCCCCCCCCCCCATAGTATACATAGTAGCTGTATTGTAGTTATAGCCCATTTTTAATATTTATTTAATTTATTTGTGACAGCTTTGACAAAATTTATAAAGTAGGTTTTAAAATATTTTTTAAACTTCAGCTATCTAATGTTTGTGTTACAAAAATTGTGGCAGATTGAAAGTTTCACCGTTTTGCTTCAAAAAAATACTTAATTGACTTATTACGTGATTGTTTACGAGGTGAGGACAACGCGTTTGTTTTAACATAGGCTAGAAGGCTGAAAATAGCACAAAGTTCTTTCAAATATGACCTCAAAACATGTGTATAATTTCAAAGCTGATGGTGCATGTCTGGACTAGTAATATAAAATCAAGCTTCTAAACCTCGTAGTGAAACACCCAGTTTATAAAAAATTATATTCATATAAAAACCATTGTAGTCCAACGATTGCAACTATGTTCAGGGTTGTACCAAGGTAGGTTATACTGTGGTACACTTGTATAACGGGACATTTTTCTTCGTTAGAATCCCTTAAAATCACTCGTTTTTAAATTTACAGCAATGAATTTATAGAGAGATTAAAAAATAACACAATATCAATAAACGTACCAGTTACCTTTTCCAGGGCGTCTCACCTTGATTCAAAAATATCACAGTAAACCTCCAGACTAAGATTATTTCAATTTTCCTGATTGGATTTCCGTTGAAATATTCCATTAAACATGTTTTGCCATTTAAATAAAATTATATTTATTTGAAGAGTACTTAGATTTGCTGCTACAATGAAAAGTAGGTTTCTATTAACATTTTAATAGCTTGCTGTGAAATAAATAAATTTATTAAATTCAATAAAAGTTTATCCATAAACAAGCAAGCAACAGCAGTTTACTAATCCTCTAAAAGATGAGGGGGGATTTTAAATTTATCGTTTTTCCGTAGCATCAGACGTAACACGACACTTCAATTTACTACTTTATTTGTTTTAGCTCTACACAATGGTTTGAAAAGAATCTGCGAAATGTTATATTTTAAAGGTTAAAAATGGGAAGAACCATTTGTAACCTATAAAACTCCCGATATACCTCATTCTCATAGTCCAATCACGCTGGTTCGTCACTCGTGTCCAGACGTTTGTACAACATTTTATTGAAATCAGATGATCTTTAATCGAGTTATCGCGCAAACTGAATTTCAACGGATGGTTTTTAGTCTCTGGGGACATCAAATCGGAAGTGTAAAGTGGTCCCGTGTCTAGATCCTACCATGAGGCTTTGGTAGTATCACTCCCTATCTAGAAAAATTCGCTCAAAGTTAACTTATCATGCCTATCAAGGTCACCGAAATTTACATTTAATTTACAAATACGTTTTATTGATTTAAAGTTTCAAAATTACCTTTTAGTAATGGGGTTAGTGGAATTCATTTCAAACTCAATCACGCTACCAAATTTGACTGACATATTATGCAGAGTGAATATCGAGAAAAATTGTTTCAACGGAAGGGGAAATAAAGAGAGGTGAGTAGGGATATGACTATATTAATAACGTTCGATTAGAATCACTATGAACCAAAACATACCTAAAGCACAATACAATGTAATACCTTAAATTCTTCATATTTAAGGTCAAACACGTGCGGTCTTCTCAAGGACTCTGCTGATCCTCCTGGATGACACGACAGCCTAGATAGTCATAAAGTGTGAGGTTTACATGAAGACTACCTATCATACGACTACGGTGACGGTGACGCAAGCAGCTCCGTGTGAGCTTCAGTTTCATCTAATCGCTCTGGACTGAGGGTCTAATCTAACAGCCCCAGGCCATCAGACCACCGAGCTAGACTCCTACACACTTACTGATTATTGATTACTTCACTATTGGGGATTCCGGCAAAGTCACCTTGGCAGGTGATTTTACACTGTGTGGTTCTGATGAGAATGTATTTATAATTTTGAGTAATTTAGGTATATGGTGGACACGAAGTGTAAAATACGAGAATTTAGGGGTTGGTGAGAAAATTGTGAACTAATTAAACACGTATTGGAGGGTGGCATGAAACTGTTTTGATGTATAAAGTATTCTATGACATACAATTTATGACTTCAATGTATAAAAATATCACAATTGTAATCTAGTCGTAGTATTTGTATTCATTCGTATAATATTAACTAAACCGTGTGACTAATTTATGTGAATAGTTTATTGTAATCCAACTTTAAAATTGTCTCACAGTTTTTGTGTGTTTTCCAGAATTGGAGCTATACATTTCTGCATGTAATCGGAGTTCTTACAGAAGCTAGGCTTCAAAACGTAAGTAGTCACAGTTCAGAAATCATTCTGGTTGTACAACGAGTTAAAAAGAGAAAATCAAACGTAATGGCTTTAATTCTAATATCTAAATTATGTTTTTAATTTTTTATTTTCTTCGTCCATATTTAAATAGTATTCATTCCAGTAACTGTATTTTGTTTAAATTGTTATTATTGAAATAGGAAGTTTCGATCATTATTTTCCATTTACATCCGGGAATTCAAAAACCTTCATACAAATCACCTTCATATACTATGTACGTTATATACTGTATGTATGTAGTTACTATGGGTATGTGATGTCGATAAACAAGTGTAACATCTTAAGGACACCACGTAGTTTTACTGTTACAAAAAGTTTGTATCATATTTTGTAAAGATAATTTAAAAAACGTATAAGTTAGTATAATCGTAAAATACATAGGAAATCTTACCCACAGTAAAAACTATTTCATTCAATACATTATGTTGTCACCAATACAAGTGAAACTAAGAACATATTGTATATAATATGGAAACCGTCGTTTGATTTGAAAATACATTGAATGTCCACGCCTGTAACTGTAACAAGTCAAGTTAGATTATCCACAGTCACTTGCTGTCTGAGTCGCCGTCACTTGATTTCCGCCTCGGATTAGAGTCAAGGTAGAAACTGGCTCGAATCTGGGACGCTTGTCATTCGCCTTGCTGCAAGTATATAACATGTACGGATTGTAACCTTAAAGTCATAAGCTGATTTGGGTAGAAGAGTACAATCAATGGTTAGAAAGTTTACAGGGTGTCCCTTAAATAAACAGCCATACCCTGGGAAATTGTTCTATGGGTCACGATAAAGAGAAAATCAAGAATAACATTTTTCCGAAATCACTTCATTAACCAGATATCCGCCATTTTGTATTTTTTACATAAACTTTTTTTTATTTTTTTTTTCAACCAATCTTTACAAAACTTGGTATGTAGGTTAAGGTAGAAAGAGGTATAGGATGATAGAAAAAAATTCATCTTGTTTCGGCTTAAAATTTCAAAATGGCAACCATTTTAATTTTTTAAATTTAAATTACTGAAAATGGCAAATTTTATGAAAAAATATCATGAACACTTTTAGCTTTTTTAATTCCCTATCAAACGATACGGAGTTCAAAAAGATCGACCTGAAATATTACGATTTTTAGTTGTAAAATGGGGTTGAATAAGGCAGAAGCTAGTCAGGTTCGTCCCATTTTACAGCTAAAAATCGTAATCTATACTTATAAAAGGCAAAGCCCTCACTGACTCACTGACTCACTGACACACTCACTCATCACTAATTCTCCCACTTCCCATTTACCTAGGAGGCTGAAATTTGGTACACCGATTCTTTGGGCATTAAATAGGAAAACTAAGTAGTTTTTATTCTGATCGGGCTTTCGGGCTCCGCCCTAGTGGCTCTCGAGTTTCCCATGTTAACCTTATGATTTTTCATATTTACCAACAGGGTGCAGCACTATTATTTTTTTAAATTTATGACAACAGCTAATTTGCAACCAAAAGGTGAGTGAGCGTAGCGAACGAACTTCTACCTGGAGGCGAGTTAGCGTAGCGAACGAGCTAACCTGAAGGCAAGTGAGCGCAGCGAACGAGCTCCAACCCAAAGGTGAGTGAGCGTAGGGAACGAACTTCAACCAGGACGTGATTGAGCCATGCGAACGAGCTCGTCTTGAAAATTAAGAAATTAAACGGGGCAAAGCCCGCGGGTACAGCTAGTATTTCAAATAAAAGTGTTACTGACATTTTTAATATTTAACTTTAAAAAATTAAAATGGCCACCATTTTGAAATTTTTAATTGAATTTCGATTAATTTTCTTCTAACATTGGTCTTTTCTATCCAAGTTTTATAAAGATAGGTTGAAAATATTAAAAAATAAAAATGTTTATGTATAAAATACAAAATGGCGAATATCTGGTTGACGAAGCGATTTTGGAAAAAAATTTATTCTTGTTTTTCTCTTTATTTTGAACCGTGGAACCAATTCCTGGAGTTTGGCTGTTTACTTACGGAACACCCTGTATAACATGTTCGGGTTATAGCCTAAATGTCATAAAATGTTTGGGAAGAACAATGCAATCAATGTTTAGCAAGTATACAACATACGGATCAACCTATACCCGTCTTATTTACTTTCTATCTTGTAGTCATATGGAAACATCATGATCCCAATGATGAGGTGTTGCCAGTGTATACTCCAAGTGATCTTAAGTTAATGAGAGATTATTTTATACTGTGCTACTATTAGAGTTCAATTTGATATATTACTATCCCTCCTTTGATATATACTAATTGCTGATTACGTATTGCTGATTAGTAGGTATGTTATGGTTTTCTTACGTATGCATTTCAAATTAAGGTGATTAAGAAATTAAGGAAATAAACATTTATGTTACAGGAGCATACCATCATAGACTATGATACAATATAGGTGGCTGAATTTAAGTAATATTTTACTTACATTTTGGTACAAACAAAACATGGTAAGATACCTTTTAGGCAAAGGTTTTGCGTCCAAAAACATTTTTTTATCAACCAAATCTTTTTATTTATCTAAAAAGATTTATTTATATAACTAACGCTTCTAACTACTATTATCTGTAGGCTATTTAAAGAGGAAATACAAGATGAATTTTAGAAAATGTATAATTAACCACCCAGTATCAAAAACATAGTGTTACAAAAGGATTCGGCTCCAAACTGAACCTTGAAAAATAACACATTTAATAATATGTGTATAATTAAAGAAGTGTTTATAGTTTCGAAATTATGTGTCAAAATGTGACGAGTTTGATTTCCGGCGTATCCACAAACATATGAGAGGCTTAGGCCGTTTTCGTTCACAATCGTTTATGATACTCTTATGCAAAAATTCCACTATGGCGTAGACACTTACAAAATTCTGTCACTTAATTTTAAAACTTGCTACAATGTTTCCATATAAATCCAATCTTTACACTATAGTGAGTTTTATAGACAAAGTAGCTGTGAATAAACAACTACTAGGAACAGTCCTTCATCTTGATGGACCTGGTCTTGACTTGGACTCGTTCCGAAGATGAAGCAATAGTGAACAAACGATTTATAGGCAAATCCCAGGGTTTGGTTGTTTCAAGGATTTACGACCAAATCCTTCTATATAGGAATTTGATAGACTTGACGACATGTCTTTCCAAGGATTAAGATTATTTATCTCGAGAGTATACTTAATTTATTAACTCGTTTAGTGATGTTTTTCTTATCTTTAAATAAAATCCAATCAATTCCAACGTCCTGTAAGGACATAAAGGACTCTCGTTCTTTTATGGATTCTGCAAGTATAATTTGAGAGTTAGTTTGACAAATAGAGACACGAATACGTTTTGAAATGGAATTCCTTGAATGCTTTGTTCTTTCATCAAAATGAGAGAGACTACGTCAAGTAGTTCATGTATATTTGTGTTTATAATTACGAGAAAATTATTCTGTAATATTGGGTAAGCTACATTTTCTTGTTAACTATTTTGTGATATGATTTCGTTCTATTAAGATTCACACAAGTTAAGCAATCACCATTATTTATATCGGTAAAATATGATAACCGTAAAAACTATACACCTCTGATGTTAAAGGAAATTTTTAATTTATAATACATTTTTTTGCCATGGTTATGAAAATAACGAAAAAAACTTGGAAGGCTGGGGATCTGAGTGGTATATTGCTCTCTTGGTTCCAGTACAATCCTGAGAAAAGTCAACAGCTTTTTGGTGGTTTGAAACTTGTCCCAAATAAATTTGTCCCTTCACACATATTCGGGTTGGAAACCGCAGCATTGTTTCCTTGTCTCAATTTAATAATAATTATAGTAATCATAACAATTGCTGCATGGTAGGCACTTGTTAACACAAGAAAAGAAGCAAATTTGTATGGTTTTACCGTTACCTTTATCCCAATTTTGTGACATACACAGCACAGTACAACCCTGAGTAACTGACCCTCATGGAACGTCTAGGTTTTTAATCTAAAATATTTGTTACAATCAGTAACTACGTAAATATTTTGGAAAATTATGTGATTTTAAAGTTTTTTTATATGAGATTTTCGTATGGTTCATAACCTGCAGAGACAAGATTATGTTTTATCACTGTGATACGAATAAGATTGGAAGTATCTGAGTTCCAAGAAAAGGTCAATTCAACCATCAAGTTTTTTTTTATTTCGAGGTAAATTAAATGGCCTATATTTTTGCTCGAGTAGGTAGGGATAATTAATCCGAGCGGCAGTTCGTACTGGTACTTTGACCAATAGTCAAAAGTACAATAAAATAAAGGTTTGCATCCCTTATAGCCTAAACTTCAGAAACCTTTGTATGACTGTATGTAACTGGAGGGTCGATGTTCATAAACAACCTCTTTCAGCTGATTATGCGCCACTGGACCTTGCGGCTTGGTGGCGTGACACCTCTGGAAGCCTTCTGACACACAAATGTCCTATTAGCAGTCAGACAATGGACCTCGCATACAGAACTCCACCGCGGTGTTGGTCTCTAATACGCGACGTGGGGAGACTCCTGATGGCGCTTGTCGTCAACCTATTCTTGGGAAAATCCCTCTACAATAGATGTAATTATATTCATTGTGTCCCTTTGTGACAAGAAAATCCATCAACGAGTATGAAATTTGAAAAAAGATTTGTTGCATACGAAAAAACTAAGAAAATTAACTTGTATGTGTTATTTTTATTGATAATAGTCCAATAAATATTTGTGTTGGCATAAGGGCTCCTCATTAGTAATTGTAATACCTTGGAGAAAATAATGATGATCCACTTATGATGATGCGACGGAGGATATTGTTTAAAAAGTGTCCTTTAACTAGCCGAATGATATAATTGGTTTAAAATGAGAGTAGCATATTAAATAAAAAAAAGCGTGACTAGCAAATATCTCGATCAATATAGTTCTATATTTATATTTAATACTTCATTACACAATTCA